TGCCCAGCGCCCTCCCCGTCCTCGGGGTCCCTCCCTGCAGAGAGCAGGTACACACAGCTCTCCCCGTCCTAGGGGTTCCTCCCTGCAGAGAGCAGGTACACACAGCTCTCCCCGTCCTCGGGATCCTCCCTGCAGAGAGCAGGTGCACACAGCTCTCCCCGTCCTCGGGGTCTCTCCCTGCAGAGAGCAGGTACACACAGCTCTCCCCGTCCTAGGGGTTCCTCCCTGCAGAGAGCAGGTACACACAGCTCTCCCCGTCCTCGGGATCCTCCCTGCAGAGAGCAGGTGCACACAGCTCTCCCGGTCCTCGGGTTCCTCCCTGCAGAAAGCAGGTGCACACAGCTCTCCCCGTCCTGGGGTTCCTCCCTGCAGAGAGCAGGTGCACACAGCTCTCCCCATCCCCGTCCTCGGGTCTCTCCCTGCAGAGAGCAGGTGCACAGCTCTCCCCGTCCTCCCTCCCACTAGGCGGCCCATGCCCAGAGGACCCCAGCCCCCTCCCTTGGGCATCCCTGCGGTGGTGGCCATGCAGCCAGCCAAGCCAGCAGGGTCTGGGTCTCCGACTCGGTCGCTGCAGATGCTGCTGTGCTGAAAAGCCGCGTGCACCCCTTCGTGTGCCCGGGCAGGGTGGTTCGGTGCGGTTGCAGCGGGCGTGGTGTTTTCTCCAGTTCAGCTGCGGCAGACTTTTGCCACTGAGCCGTCCCGTGTCAGGGCCCTGAGCTATTTCTGCCCCTTGAAGTGTGCCGGGCAGGCGAGGGCAGCCAGAACCGCCAGTGGCCCTGGGACAGTGCCCCGGGCCATGCCACCCGCACCCTCTCGTTGCAGGCGGTCGACTACGAGCTGAACAGGGCCTTCATGCTGACCGTGATGGTGTCCAACCAGGCGCCCCTGGCCAGCGGCATCCAGATGTCCTTCCAGTCCACGGCGGGCGTGACCATCTCTGTCGTGGACGTCAACGAGGCCCCCTACTTCCCCTCGAACCACAAGCTGATCCGCCTGGAGGAGGGTGTGCCCGCCGGCACCGCGCTGACCACCTTCTCGGCAGTGGACCCCGACCGGTTCATGCAGCAAGCCGTGAGGTGGGTGCAAGGCTCAGGCCCTGGCAGGGCTGCCAGACTCACAAGGAAGAGGCCCAAGATGCCCAAGGGGCCCACAGCCCAGGGGCCCAGAGTCGGGGCTGGGCGTCCACGGCCTGAGCCATCTTTCCAGGCCAGGGGCAACAGCAGCACAAGCCCTGGGACTGGCCTGCGGGCTGCGGGGCACAGCTGCGCTTTCCAGGGCGAGGGAGGGGAGTGGCACTGTGCATTGGCTAGGCTCAGGTGAGTCTAATCACTCGCCCTGAGGCTGTGGCCTGCGCTTACCCTCAATGAGGGTGCCTGCCTCCTGGGACCCACGTGAAGTGAGGGCCACCCCCCAGCCTCCCGCCTGCTGTAGGAGCTCCAGGCCAATGGCTGCTGTGACGGTCCCCAGCTGCGGAAGGCCGTGGAGGGTGGAGGGAAGTCCCGGCGGGGACACAGGCTCTCAGGACAGAAACCCCAGCCAGCACCCTGACCGCGCGGCTGCCAGGAGCAGCTGGCCCTGGAGCGGGTCCCAGGGAGCCCCTCACCCCGACCCCCCTCTGCAGATACTCGAAGCTCTCGGACCCGGCGAACTGGCTGCGCATTAATGCCTCCAACGGCCAGGTCACCACCGGGGCCGTCCTCGACCGCGAGTCCCTGTACGTCAGGAGCAACGTCTACGAGGCCACCTTCCTGGCAGCCGACAACGGTAAGGCCCGCTCCGGGGCAGCCTCAGTGGGCAGCCCAGAGCCACTCTCGGAGGCCTGGAGGAGAGGGTGGGCGGGGCAAGGCGGGGCGTCGGCACCCCGCCAGGCCAGCCTCCACCCGCCCTCCAGCGCTGAGCACCCACTGGCCATGCTCGCTCACAGCAGCACTCCTCCTGGGCACTGGGTCCCAGGGACGGCTGCAGAGGGGCCCGGCGTCCCGTGCCTGCACCCATGAACAGAGCGCCTGAGCCACGTCCACATTTGCAACACAGCCCTGTCAGCACCCCACCCTGCAGACAAGAGCCCTGACTCAACAGCCCGACCCCCCAGGGGGCCACCACGCCACGGACCACACACCCCTCTGGTGGGGGTGGGAAGGAAGGAGTGAGCCTCGAGAGCTGGAGAGGGCAGCGAGGCCCTGGGAGATGGTGTGCTGGAGACGCCCCGGCAGCCAAGCAGCCAGGGTCAGGTCTGACACACTCTGGCTACCACCCCATCCTTGATGTACCATAGCATGATCCAAAATGGCTGCTGGTGCTCCAGCCATCACAGCCACAGTTGGCAAACAGGAGGGGCGGGGAGAAGCGTAGGACAGGGGTGTAAAGTTGTTCAGGAAGCTCCACACTAGGCTTGCTCCCACAGCTCACGAAGGTCAAGACTTGGTCACCCAGCCATGTTCAGCTGCAAAGCATGCTGGGATAGGTGTCCTCTAGGGAACAGTGATGGTCCCAGGTAAGATCTGGAGCTCTAGTTCTTTTATTAAAAGATAGCAAAGATCCAGGTAGCGTGCAGAGGCAAAGTGCCACGCTCCGTGAGGCTGACCACATCGGAGGTTCCGAGTCAAGTCCGGAGCCCCCTGCTAGCCCCTGACCCGGGGCCAGCTGAGGCGAGGGCGGGTCATGGCATTGGGACCCACTGGGGCTCCGCGTCTCTCTCCTCGCCTGCCGGAACCACCTGGCTGTCCCGTCTCCCGGTGATCCCCGCATCGCTTCACTGTCCCACTTTGACAAGGGCTGGAAGCGGACAGAGCTGGAGGGACGGAGAGACCGGGGGCCCTGTCAGCTCGGAGGGCGACCGGAGGAAGAAGCCAGGGGGGCAGGACAGGAGAGGACTGTCCACAGGTGGGACACGGCACATGTGGAGGCCTCGAGGCAGGACAGGGCCTGGTGGGTCTTGGCACAGCTGAGGGTTCCTGGACATGGGTGGCCGTGCACCAAGTCCATCCATGGTCCCTGCCCACAGGCCTCACCCTGCCTCCCCTGACCCCAAGGTCCAGGCCCAGGCCCCAGTGGCCAGCCCTCAGTGGGGGGAGTGCTCCCCTCCCATCCTCTCCTGCCCCAGCCCAAGAGCGAGGATGGATCAGACAGTGGTTGTGAATGAAGCGCAGCCGGCATAGGTGGCGGTTGGAGCGTGTGGACACCCCGGGCTGCGCTCCACGGGCGGCGGTCAGAGCGCATGGACGCCCCGGGCTGCGCTCCACAGGTGTGCTCCACAGGTGTCCCTGCCCACACCGGTAGGCGAGGCAGTTAGTGCCGGTCCAGCCGCCCCAGCAGAAGGAGTCGTGGTCAGAGCGCCACTGCCACCTCCGCCAGGCCCGAGGGCAGTAAGAGCTCTGCCTGGAGCCTGGCCCTGGCACGTGTCAGCACAGCGGGCTGGGCGGAGGAGGGGCTGGCCCCTGAGGAGCATTGGCATCACCCCTGAGGCCAGAAGACGAGACCCTGGGGGCCGAGACCCCTGGGGAGAGCCCCGCACACTGGCAGCCACAGCAGGAGTGGTTCTCGTGACATCTGACCAGAGAACACAGAAGGCCAGGCTGGGGAATGCGTGCAGGCAGATCCCACCTTCAGGGCCCGAGCGGAGCTCTGCGGGCCAGACCCTCAGAGCGCTGGGCGCAGTGCTGACCGCGGCTGGCTCCCGACGTGCAGTGCTGACCGTGGCTGGCTCTCAGCGTGCAGTGCTGACCACAAGGACTGCAGCCATGCAGTGCTGACCGCGGCTGGCTCCCGGTGTGCAGCGCTGACCGCGGCTGGCTCTCGGCATGCAGCGGTGACCGTGGCTGGCTCTCAGCGTGCAGCGCTGACCATGGCTGGCTCTCGGTGTGCAGTGCTGACCACGGCAGGCTCCCGGCGTGCAGCGGCGAGCGCAGCGCTGACCGGGGCTGGCCCTCGGAGCACAGTGCTGACCGCGGCTGGCCCTCGGAGCACAGTGCTGACCGCGAGCACCGCAGCTGTGCAGCTGTGCAGTGCTCAGTGTGCTGCGGCCCCACGTGTGCTACGGAGCATTTGCTGGGTGTAGCTGTGGCTGCATGTCGTGGTGGGCGTGTGATGGCAGTGTCTGTGCCACCCACTGCTGAGTGACACCATGGCTACACACGGGCATCAGTGCGGCCCGGGGCCGGGGCCAGCAGTCCGGCGTGCAGGCTGTGTGCGGGTGGCCACCCCCCGTATCTGCTGGGGGTCTCGTGCACTGGCGTGATTGCGTCTGCCCTGCCTGGGGCTGAGCCTTGGTCCCTGGCTGTGGTCTGGGGCACCGAGAATGGCCCGTGAGGTCACCCACGTCTGCCCCACAGGGATCCCCCCGGCCAGCGGCACCGGGACCCTGCAAATCTATCTCATCGACATCAACGACAATGCTCCGGAGCTGCTGCCCAAGGAGGCGCAGATCTGCGAGAAGCCCAGCCTGAGCGCCATCAACATCACCGCGGCCGATGCCGACGTGGACCCCAACGTCGGCCCCTACGTCTTCGAGCTGCCCTTCGTGCCGGGCGCCGTGCGCAGGAACTGGACCATCACCCGCCTCAACGGTGAGCCCTCGGCGCCGGCCTGGAGGCACAGCATGGGGAGGCCAGCTGAGTCCGGGGTGCGGGCCCGGCCATGCGAGGGTCCTGCAAGGGCCACCCAGCCCTGGCCCTGAGCTGGCCTCCCCCAAGGCCGGGACATCAGCCAGGCATCGCCGCTGACCTGCCGGTGCCGTCCCTGCCAAGGTCCCTGGCCCGCCCAGCTCCTCGCTGTGCTGAGCGGATCCAGCGCGCCTACGGCACCCCGAGGCCTGCTGCCCGCTGACCGGCCCCAGTGATGCGTGTCGCGGGTGCTCTCCCAGACACGGGCTTGTAGTGCAGGGAATACCAAGACACTGACCCTGACGGCCCCAGAAAGTCCCTGTAGGCGTCACGTCAACCCCCCTGGCTGGGAGAGCATCCGTTTGCTCAAACCTCCCGGCTCCGGCCATTCCTGTTTTACAAACCATCTGCCAACTTTACGGCCGCCCGACCGCGGCCCTCTCCGACCCGCGACAACGACTAGAAATCTGTGCGTGTGGCGGCCATCTTGTTTCTTCTGTGACGTGTCTGTGGAATGCTTTTGCATGTTTTCTTTCTTTTTCTATTTTTTAGTCTGCGGTAGGGTGCATGCACTCCAGAGCGAGAGAGAGGGAAGTGAGCAGGCCACGCTGCAACCTCTTCTCTGTCCTCTCAGGGTCTTGGGCAAACATGCACACACACCCTGCGTACTTTTAAAGCCGCCGGGTCCGGGGCTCGAACCGCATACTCGCTCAGGTGGGCTCCAGCTGCTTTAACCACCACGCCACCTGGCCAGCCCCTACTTCCCTTTAGAGGACAGCTTTTCTGACTGATTTGGTAGACTCTCTTCACCCTACATGTCACGACCCCCTTCCCCGTACAGCCCTGGGCCGCTGGCGTGACGCGGTGGTGCCACCCGGGCGGTGGTGCCACCCGGGCGGCACAGCCCCGTTCTCGCCCACTCTCCCTCTGGCGCCCTCGTGTGCCCCGAGCGCTCACCGCCTGCTCTCTGCAGGTGACTATGCCCAGCTCAGCCTGCGTGTCCTGTACCTGGAGGCCGGGGTGTACGACGTCCCCGTCATGGTCACCGACTCCGGGAACCCGCCCCTGTCCAACACGTCCGTCATCAAAGTCAAGGTGTGCCCGTGTGATGAGAACGGCGACTGCAGCACCGTGGGCGCAGTGGCGGCGGCAGGCCTGGGGACGGGCGCCCTGGTGGCCATTCTCATCTGCATCGTCATCCTCCTGAGTGAGTGTGGCCGAGCACTGGGGACGGGCCGCCAGCTGCCAGAGTTCCGGCCCAGGGCCGCGCGGCTGTGCCTCCTGTGCCTCCCGTCTGCCACGAACAGCCCACAGCCCACGTGGACCGGCCTCTCATGGGACACGGGCACAGGGCCAGCCTGCCCGGCAGCCAGGGGCATGCCCCGCCTCCCATCACCACACCCTGCCTCCCAGACCCCGGGGCCTGACCCACTGCCCTCCCGGGCGCAGTGCCTGCAGGCCGCGCTAGGTGCATGCTGGGACGACACCGCCACCTGCCTCCCCATCCAGGCCCGGGTGCTTTCCAAGAGGGCCGCTCGCGTCACGTGCACACCCTGGAGCCAATCACCAGCCAGGGACTGGAGCGTGCTCATCGGCTCAGCCCAGATCTCGTCCTCCAGTGGTTCTTGGGTCCCTCAGACCTCGCATGTCCTCAAAGGGGAGTGGGGGCCACAGGGAAGCAGGGGGCACTTAGAAACAATGGGCGGGTGGGGCAGGGGTTCCGAGTCCCCCCACATCACACCCAGACCCCGGCCAGAGCAGGGTCCTGCAGCCCTGCCCACCCGGCCCCGGGCACCTGCAACACGTCGGGCCCTTGTGGCCAGCAGATGGCGCAGGGAATGGTCACGTGGCTGGACTCCCAGGTAGTCGGCCTGGGGGTGATTTCTCGCTTTCCGTCTCTGGTGAGCACACTTGCCCCATGGCAAAAATCTCTCTTTTTTTAAAAAAAAAAAAAAAAGCCAGCCCCCTCCCAAGGCTTGTGGGCTCACGAGGGGTCTGCCGGCCTCCCCTCCCAGCCCCCAGCCCCCAGCCCCCAGGCCAACTTCCTTTCCCAGCCTTACTCGGCAC